AAAAAAAAAAAAAAATCCTAGAAAAACTTTTCCTCAAAAACCAAGAAAATGTAGAAAATCAATTCCGTGAAAAATTTAGTCAATCAAACATGCAAAAATGTGAAAATTGATTTTAATTTCCATCGTCCATGAAAAAGAAAGAGCAATCATACAGGGCCTTAGATAACGTAGGAAAATCCAACAATTCAGTAAAATAGAGATATAATTTACCAATTGTTACGGTCTTTAATTAAATTCTTAGGTGATTTAATGCGTTTGGTTGAGATTTATTCAAATTGTTATACATATAATGAATTGACTTAAACTAGATAAGATTGATGTGTGAAATCAAGAGAGGTAAATTGATTTAATTAGAAAATTTCGATCAAGTACAAAAAAAACCTAGCAAATCTATAGAAATAATGCTATCTAACACCAATATATGTGAAATTATGTAATAAGTTCAATTAAATGTGAAATTATGTGATTATTCAATTGTACATTTCATTTAATGACTCTTAGACCCCTGTTTGGCCCATCAAAATTATAATCAATTTTTATCTTTCTTTTTATCAACCACACATTATTCAATAAAATAATATTACACGTAAATTTATAAAAAAATCTTAACCACACATTATTCAATAAAATAATATTACACGTAAATTTATAATCAATTTTTATCTTTCTTTTTATCAACCACACATTATTCAATAAAATAATATTACACGTAAATTTATAAAAAAATCTTAACCACACATTCTTTAAAAAAAACATTATTCCAAAAATTATAATCATAAATAATAGGGGTCAAACGGGTGCTTAGTACCACCTAAACTAATATTGTAACATCAACGTTGTTAAATAGCATTACTCAATCTAGGGTGGTGCATCGAGTGATATCCATGTCTACATAACTAAGCTGCATAATGTGTGGTCTAATCCAATAGGCATATTTGATTTTCAACAGACCTAAAGAAGTGAATAATACTATCTAACACCACGTGTTACAACACGCCTATTTATTTACTTTTCTTGTTTTTTATTCGATTGTAGTCGAATTGAAGAACTCATAGATTTATTGATCATTGGTATAATACCCCGCAACATAGCCCTGAGAGAGGACAAAAAAATAAAAAATTACTAACAGAGTGGCTCTTCAGTTTGAGGGAATCTAGAACAGCTGCGTATAACTGAGCACCATGAAAACAGGCTTGGAATTAACAAGTTGCATTAAAGAAAATGTAGGGTTGCCCAATGAAACATTCATTTCCTTATCCCTTCAGTCTTCCGCTACCGGGAAAAAAGATTCAAAAAATAAAAAATTTGCATGAGCAAGACAAGCGTCGAGTAGCTTGTGGGCAAGCTTTTAAAGTGAATAATATAACAAATTCTCAGACGTATAAGCACTCTCAAATCATTAAAAACCCCTAGCACAAATTACCACAATAGAGAGTAAAAACCTTGTCAATCAGAATTTGGCAAAGCAAGTTCTTGAAGAACAAGATTTTGGTGGTCAAGCAAAAACCAGATGTCATGTGCAGTGGGTGTATCATTTGGGCCTAGAAAAATCAAGGAGAAACAACTGTATAGTACCAAAATGACTAACTTGATCCGCCTATGATTGTCTACTTGATGAATCAATATTCAAATTAACATTATTGGCACTATTGGATTGGACAGTATAGGGCAATGTTAGAAAACCAAGAAGAAAGAAATCAAAGCTAAATCGCCATTCTTCTCTTCAGCCATTTCAGGGTTACGAAGATGTGAAAGCATGTTTACCTCTATAAGAACAGTGCATTCTGAGGTGTGACGTTGGAGAGAAGGGATGTAGGTATAAGATCACCTTTTGATCAAGCTAAATTGTTCCTCAATTAAATCTAAGTCAACTACAAGAAAAGACAGCCCCCGAAACAGCAAGCAATAGAAATGAATCCCATGTGCAGATATTGAGCTTCTTGCAAGACGAGGAAAGGGAAGTTCCTTCCCATAAATCCTGTTTCTCTACTAAACAACAGAGGATCTTTTTTGCTCTTTTAACACTCCAAGAATTTCTGAACCAGTTCAGGAAGTCTTCTTTGAAATTTCTCTTCATTTAATGTTTTGGATTTCTCTCTCAGCAAGGCTTAGCCAGTCGAATTCTGATGCTCGACCCTTTTCTTCTAAGTGTAACTACCAGACGTAAATAACATGGAAACCATCGTGTTGAATTTGGTAACAGACATTGTGTTCTTACAAAGAAAATATGGCATCAGAAACTGGAAGGACTTTTGTTCGAGTAGAATGTTCAAAATTGACATGACAATGGCCCCAATGGGCAGGTAACATATCAACCATTCTGGTAACTCAGCCTCTCATAGTCAATGGAAATACAGTACAGACC